CCATCCATCCATCCATCCATCCATCCATCCATCCATCCAGCCATCCATCCATCCATCCATCCATCCATCCATCCATCCATCCATCCATCCATCCATTTTCTTTACCTGCTTCTATTTGATAAAAAAAAGCTACAGAATATTTTTTCAGGTTTTGCATTTTGTTAGTTCACATAGTTTTTACCTCACTGCGTGATGTTGTAATATGCATTTTTATAATGCACATAGTTTCAGTTTTATTACAACCCCACATCACTAATACACATACTCTGATTCCAACAATATCACATGGCAGCTCCCCAAAACAACCCTAAACATTTTTACCTTATTTTTTTTTAGTTGCTGGAGTCACTTCATCCATTTTTATTTATTTCAATGATTTGAATCTTAACTGTTATAGGATTGGTCTGTGAAATGTTTTACCAGTTAGCTTAAACCAGCGAATACATTATTCATTGCTGTTGTAGAACCATGTTGTAGAACTTTATTCTGGAGTCCCCCCCACTCCATCAACTCCAACAGCAGGAAGCCTAACCTGTTTCTGGTGGAGGCTAAACTCTGCCAGCGCTGCTCCAAGACCCTGATTAGTGCCCATGGACAGGAGCTTATGGTGCTGCGTACCTTCAGTATTCAGGGTGTGTGTCTGCCTCAAACAGGAGTTTAAATATCTTGGCTTTGATGTAATGACAGCTCTACAGCTTGTGGTGGAAAAAAAATACTGGGCCAGCTGTGTTCATAAGATTTGGATCATGACTGAAAGAACAAGATCCTGAATATGAGCAGCTAGGATGTGCTTATTTTTGAGGGTGTCTTTGCTCAGTCTTGGAGATAAGATGTGAAACTGCGAGGGACTCTGAGCAGAACCAAGGCTCTTATACAATGAGGAGGTGTTTGCAGAATGTCTACGTCACTATGTGCTGTTTGTGCGAGGTGTTTGTTTAATATTAGAGGTTTTTTTTTTTCTCAGGCAAGAAAAAAAAGTCTGATAGGAATTTTTTTCGCCTCCAACTCCTACAGGTGTCCAGTTAACCGTTGATTTTGTCTGTCCAAACAGGTCTCACTTGTAAATGAGTCTTCGAGGCTCAGTGTGATTTATCTGTTTAAATAAAGGTTGAATGAATGAAAAAAGTAACTGAGTTATTTTGAATCCCTTCTGGAAACTCTTGGAGATTTCTTAGGAACATCTCTAGGTGAGGAGATCCAGGGCAGACCAAGAACTCACTGGAAGGATCATGTATTTTGTCTTTTGAGCACCTTCGTATCCATCAGGAGAAGAGAGTGTTGCGGAGGAGAAGGTAGTCTGGGTTTCCCTCCTGAACCTTTTACACCTATGACCCGACCTTGAATAAGTGGATGAAAATGGACTGAAATTCCATTAGATCTAGTCAAACTTTGCCAGTTAATGAGCACAACACAGGTCCAGTCCAACCAGTAAAATCAAGAGTTGGACACTTCCTGTTCTACACAAGACAGCAGCTTTTTAACGTTTTGTCCTGTCTGCATTCTTTAGTGCATTTGCAGTTTCCTAAAGACAAAAAACAAGGAAACAAACCCAACCCAGCCTCACTTCCTGCTCAGGGTGAAATCAAACATCCCCTCATCTAATAAATCCACTGGACCCCACCCTAGTTCAGAAGATAGTGTATCTTTTCATATTTCATATTTTCAGAAACAAACCCACTGCTCCGTCCTGGTATTGGGTTCGTGGTCATGGTTTTCGCACTTTTGCTCTCTTGGTTGACTGAGCATCATTTAGAAAGCAATATTAAATTACTTATTGCTAAACTGTAAAAGCACTCACGCTCAACCTAAAACACTGTCAGAAGTGCTGAACAGGTTTAGGGGTGTTTAAGTTCTGAAGGGACATTGGCTTCTACAAGCATTGGGTCAATAATACTTTGGATAAGATGCACATTGCACAGCAATCAGATAAGTGTCAATACCAAATGCCCTTTGAGCTGATCTGTGTCATTCAGAGCTGTCTACAGAGGATCCTTAACATGCTGATACAGTTTATACCTCAAGTCAAGGTCCAGTTTGTCCATCAGTTCAGATAGTTCTGTGTATTCTGTATTTATTTGTTGGGAAGTGGGACTGGCTGCAGTAGACAACAGTAGTCAGGGTGTTGACACTTATGGGGAATCAAAGAGAAATTCTCACAGAGGAAGCTTCTGACTGCATACTTACACAATAAGATCAAACACATTACTCTAAAACAACTCAGAGTCGAAACATTTCTAGCAGTTCCAACAAATGCGGTGTTAGATGTTTTTACAGATGGTCATTTTTGATGTTTACTTTGTCACATATCATTCAACCAAACATTTATGGTGCCAAAAAATATATGTGCTGCCATAAAGGCATATAAACAGACCAATCAATAAAAACAAATTCACTAGCTACTGGCATTATCCAAAGCCCCCCCACCCCCCCAAAGGATATTGCATGTAATAAATTAATAAATGTTAATAAACTAATAAACGTAGGTACATGTTCCCACCAATTCATTGTAGCCACGAAACAACAAAGATGATATATCATCACCCACTTCTGCACAGTGCTTGACCACACTGTGAGTTTTGTTTCTTCCAAACGAAGAGTTGCATTTGCTCCCTGATGCGTGTGCATGTGTTAATGTGTTCAGAGCGTCCTCATTAGCATACAGACTATGTCCGACTTGTGCGCATGACCAAGCTCATACTAGCAGAGAGAACGTCAGAAAAATGTCACAATCCACTTAAAACTAATATGGCTCTGGATCCAAGTGAACACATTTTGGCTCCTCCCCTGAACAAGCAGTCAAAGACCAGTCACCATGGCTTTAATCTAGCTGGACTGTCAGAGGAGGAAAACTCCCTCTTGTTGGAAAAGACTATAGACTATTTATATTTGTTTTTAGGTGATAGGAAGCGCCCATCCATCCTGTCATGTTGTAAGAATGATAACTTAGAAAATACATCAATTACCATTTTGATGTGTGGTTGCATGGGCTTAAGAAAGGTTTCAAAATTGGGTTACCATGTCAAAATCCAAAATGGCTGACAACACACACACGCATATATACATATACATATATATATATAAATATATGAATATATACTGTACGTCCATCCATTATCGTTTACCCGCTTCTTCCTATTCGGGTTGTTAAAAAAAAATAAAAATTCAGACTCAGAGTCAGAGAGATTTATTTGTCATACACACCACATGTGGTACATGTGGTGGAAAGAGATTATGCACACAGGGTCCCTTTTATATCCCATACGAAAATGTAAAATATATAAACATATAAAATATGAACTAAGAAAAACATCAACTAAATATACACTAAGCAATAATAGCATAAAAACAATACACCGAGCAGCAGCACGAACATGAGTCTGTGTGAGCAGATGAACACAAATGAACACAGCAACATGAAACAGATCAGCAGCAACATGAAACAGATCAGCAGCAACATGAAACAGATCAGCAGCAACATGAAACAGATCAGCAGAAACATGAAACAGATCAGCAGCAACATGAAACAAATCAGCAGCAACATGAAACAGATCAGCAGCAACATGATGGGATTTTTCACAGTGATTATTCTGGTTAGAGATTCATGAGTCTAACAGCCTCAGGGTAGAATCTGTTCCTCAGTCTAGTGGTTCTAGATGTAATGTTTCTTAACCTCCTGCCTGAGGGGAGTCGGGCAAAAAGTGTGTGTGCTGGGTGAGTGGGGTTCTTCATGATGCAGATGGCCCTCTTCCTGCATCTTTCTAGTTTTCTTTTTACTACATACAAGTGTAGTTTCCTCAAATGACTGGCGTGGCTCCACCATTGTACCATTCTCTAGGATCCATCATTCTTCACTGCCTCCAACAAGATAAAAAAAAAATCTCTTATCTCTTATATCATCCATCCATCCATCCATCCATCCATCCATCCATCCATCCATCCAT